ATTATTGTTTTCATTTCAGACTTGTTCATCTTAAGATTTTCCAATTGGTCTATGATGCAGGAGGCAAAATTATTTCCAGTTACTTCCCCGTGTCGTTCATGCCAGAAGTAACAACTTACATATCTATCGTTAAAATTATAGGTTGTGAAATTATGACAACTAGGTTTTGTCTTTAAATAATTTGCATTGGCAAACACCTTTGGTGTCAGAAGAACATCCTGCAGATTCATTGTTAACCCTTCAGCGGTGTATCTTCACAAGCTAACAAGCTAGTGTTTTGTCAGATTCTTTTTCCTCTCAATTCTGATTCTTCCTTTCAGTATGAAGCAGGTATTCATCCTCCGAAATGTTAACTCTTTTGCACAGCAAATATTGCATTCGTCTTTCTTAGGTTTGCAGTGACCAATATTCTGTGATTTTAACTCTTTATTAAGGTTACTTTATTAACAGACTACAGTTGCTTTATTGTCGTAGAAAATATTATTATACCATATAAAGGTAATTTATATTAAAGGGGTAGTTTTATAATCAAAATAATATTCAATTCAATCGTCGGTTCAGTTTAGGAGAAAATAACTCTAGAAGCCTGTTCTCTTTGGCTTCCAATTTGTTCATTTATGAAATTATGGAAGTGTTCAAGTGTTTCTCATTCCACAAAGTTGGAGCAGCAATGCAAAACATTTAAACTCTTTAAACTGAAAGCTACCAACAAAATTTCTCATTCGGTTTCATGCGGAAGATTGTCATAAAACGTGTGATATGTTTTAGGAATCAAGCTTTTCAGTTCTTGCAAATCTAGCCATCTGGATAATTTAATTTTTAGTGGCTGCTTGTACAAGCTTTTGGAGCTGTAATGGTTGTTGTTTATTCTTCTAGGAAAGCTTGAGTTTATATTCTACAGTTCCAGTTTCAGAGTATTTCAGTGCCCGCAAATCTACCACTTGAGGATCACCGAAACGATTCCCTGGACGAATGCTTGAGCAGTAATGTAGATCAGAGAAATCCTTGAAAAATTTGTGATCCAATTCTTTCACATTATATGGGTTTTGGCGTCGTGCTTCAATGAATGCTGCTACACGTGTATTAGTCCGACCCTTAGTGTAAATCCGTCGGCTTTTCGGGTAGAAATCGTGGAATAAGCTTTATTTTGAAGGTTTCGATGTTTAATGACAAAAAAACAATGTTCACATTTTTTCTGAGTAGGTCTTCGTAGTATGGGAGGCATTATCTGAGAGTAGCCATTTTCGATAATATTCCAACTTATTTTTGTTTTCATTTTTACCCTATTTATAATGTTGTCGATATATCAACTGTGAATTAGCACTGTATTAGTATTCACAGGGGTCATGACTCTATTTCAGATTTTTTCCAATCACTTCATGAAGATATTTCCAAGATGGCGGCCATTTTTAGTAGGAAAATGGGACGATGTGAAGAATTTGTTGGCGTCGTGCTTCAATAAATGCTGCTACATGTATATTAGTTCGACCCTTAGTGTAAATCCGTCGGCTTTTCGGGTAGAAATCGTGGAATAAGCTTTATTTTGAAGGTTTCGATGTTTAAAGAAGAAAAAACAATGTTCACATTTTTTCTGAGTAGGTCTTCGTAGTATGGGAGGCATTATCTGAGAGTAGCCATTTTCGATAATATTCCAACTTATTTTTTTTTTCATTTTTACCCTATTTACAATGTTGTCGATATATCAACTGTGAATAAGCACTGTATTAGTATTCACAGGGGTCATGACTCTATTTCAGATTTTTTCCCATCACTTCATGAAGACATTTCCAAGATGGCGGCCATTTTTAGTGGGAAAATGGAACGATGTGAAGAATTTGATTAAGAATAGCGTTTGGTATCAATATATGTTTTTTCGGGGTCGCAGATTCAATTTCTGACATTTACAAACTTGTAAAATGATCACATGTTCACTTAATTAGTATATTTTGGCGGGACGATGTGAAAATTTTGATTAAGTAGTAGTGTTTGGTGTCAATATATTATATGTTTTCGGGGTCGTAGATTCCATTTCTGACATTAACAACCTTGTAAACTGATCATATGGTGACATACTGAGCATATTTGCAAGATGGCAGCCATTTTTGGCGGGAATTGGGAGAGTAGTAGTGTTTGGTGTCAATATATATGTTTACGGGCGCGCAGAATTCATTTCTGACATTTACAACTTTGTAAAATGATCACATGTTCACGTATTTAGCATATTGCTAATATTGCTAACACTTGTGGCGGAAAAATCAGACGATTTGCTGATTTTGTTTAAGAAGTTGTATTTGGTGTCAATATATATGTTTTCGGTGGCGCAGATTAGATTTCTGCTATATACAACTGCGTAAAATGATCAATGATCAAGTTAGCATATATTCAATTCGGCAGAACGTTTTCTATAATTATCATACATTTACACGTATCTGCGTCCAATTCTGCTACCTAGACTATTAGCTTGTAGCACATTCCTGAAAGCCGGTACCGTGTCGGACCCATTTGGTATATTATCCAACGATAAAAATTACTTATCCGAGATTACCACTGAGCTGATATCGATTTTCCTGGGAAAGAAAAGGCTTAGTCACTTGGTCTCCTGGCATGAAAAGAGCGTAACGGCAGCGTGGGGCTTGCGCCACATTGACACGCGCCCATCATACTCCTGCCACAACCACACCAAGCGCTTTCTACGCTCAGTGCGCTCATGGTCAAGCTCTGGCTACGCGCCCTCGCGGTTAGCAGTCAGACTGGGATACGTTCTCACTACACTCCCGTGACGTGCCTACCCGGCGTAAGTCGCCTTTTCGCCATAGTGAATGCGCCATGCTCACTCCGTCTTCATTCACTTTCAAAGCAGAGAACAACCAAACGTCAAGCAATCAAGAACATTTTTTAGTTTCTTGATGTTTCCTCTTAGGATGCCAGACTGGAACTGATGGACGAGGCTCAGTCCCTTCCCTATATAAACAAAAAGGTCGTAACAGCGTAGCAAGCATATGGCTAGGAGCTTCTTTTCAGCCTAAAGGCAACGTGGTTGAAGGTGGTGGGGACGTGGCTGTAAATGAAATACTTGCTAAGAAGCCCTCGTGACATAGATTATGTTATCAACTGACTTCCAAGCTGAATGTGGAATGCTGTTGCGTTGGAAACAGAGAGTATGTCATCACTTTCACAACGACGTGACTGGCTACTTTTACATCACTACCACCAGTTCTTTCAGTGGTGATGGCAGTGATGTCATAGATGACGGGTCATACAGATGATATAGTTTGTTTGCAACAGCATTCCTTTGGACGACTACTTCCACGCGCAGCTTTATGTCAGTTGATAATATAATCTATGCCAAAAAGTTTTTTTTTATAGCAAGTGTTAATATTTCATTTGCAGTCCTTGTTTTTATTTCTGTGTATACCGCTTTATATTTAATATCATATACATTTCTGTTCTACTTTTAAATTTATTAATTACCTTTTCAAAAGTCTCACATTTTTAACCATCGTTAATTTTGTATCTATAACTGACAGACAACATAAACTGAAAGTCTCGATGGCGCCACCAAGTCTTAAAATCAGACTGATCGACCAAGTAAATGCACTTTTTTCCTGGAAAATCGATATTAGCTCAATGGTCAACTCGGATGAGAAATTTTTATCGTTGGATAATATACCTAATAGGTAAAACACGGCAATGGCTTCCAGGAACATGCTACAACCTTATACATAGCAGAATTGGATTCAGAAGCCGTTTCAAAATCAGCACATCGTCCCATTTTCCCGCCACAAATGGCAGCCATATTAGAAATGTGCTAAATGTGTGAATATGTTATCATATTACTCAGTTGTAAACGGCAGAAATGGAATCTGCGACCCGAAAACAGATATATTTACACCAAAGACGACTACTTAATCAATATCAGAACACTGTCCCAATAATGGCCATCTTCTTGGAAATATGCAAAATAGATGTACATGTGATCATTTACACACTTGTAGCTGGGAGAAATGGAATCTGTGCCTATGAAAAAATATTTATTGACACCAAACACTAATACTTAATCGAAATAAGCACATCGTCCTATTTTCCCGCCAAAAATGGCCGCCATCTTGGAAATATCTTCATGAAGTGATAGAAAAAAATCTGAAATATTGCCACGGCCCTTGCCAATATTAATACATTGCCAAATCACAGTTGATATGTCGATAACATATATAAGGTAAAAATATAAAAAAAATAAGTTGGAATATTATCGCAAAATGGCTACCCTCAAATAATGGCCTCCCTCCCATACTATCGAGACCTACTCAGAAAAAATGTCAAAATTGTTTTTCTATCATTAAACATCAAAACCTTCAAAATAAAGCTTATTTCACGATTTCTACCCGAAAGGCCGACGGATAGGAATTATGTAACAAACCCAATCAGACTATATACTCAGAAGGTCAATAAATCTGACATGATCTTCTTAGTCGTCTTTCAATGACTGAATGTACAGAGTTTACCTCCATCCATGTTAGACCTTTTTCTAAAAAAAATTTGGATGACTGTAACTTTGTGGTTGAATGAAAAATGAAGCAATGCATTCACTAGCAAATTATTTCTGTTTAGGTAACAACAACCACCATTATATATATAAATTATTGTTTTCATTTCAGACTTGTTCATCTTAAGATTTTCCAATTGGTCTATGATGCAGGAGGCAAAATTATTTCCAGTTACTTCCCCGTGTCGTTCATGCCAGAAGTAACAACTTACATATCTATCGTTAAAATTATAGGTTGTGAAATTATGACAACTAGGTTTTGTCTTTAAATAATTTGCATTGGCAAACACCTTTGGTGTCAGAAGAACATCCTGCAGATTCATTGTTAACCCTTCAGCGGTGTATCTTCACAAGCTAACAAGCTAGTGTTTTGTCAGATTCTTTTTCCTCTCAATTCTGATTCTTCCTTTCAGTATGAAGCAGGTATTCATCCTCCGAAATGTTAACTCTTTTGCACAGCAAATATTGCATTCGTCTTTCTTAGGTTTGCAGTGACCAATATTCTGTGATTTTAACTCTTTATTAAGGTTACTTTATTAACAGACTACAGTTGCTTTATTGTCGTAGAAAATATTATTATACCATATAAAGGTAATTTATATTAAAGGGGTAGTTTTATAATCAAAATAATATTCAATTCAATCGTCGGTTCAGTTTAGGAGAAAATAACTCTAGAAGCCTGTTCTCTTTGGCTTCCAATTTGTTCATTTATGAAATTCAACTTACATATTGGCGCGACTTTGAACTTTCCTTTACCACAGATGTCCAGATGGCTACTTAATGGATTGTCCTGTTTTCTGGGTGCAGTTTCTGGGACCCAGAATTGTAAAAACACGAGGTTCGTCTCACGCCACAGGACATTCGTATCCAAGTTATATGCTCCTGGCGGCCAACCCGTCTTATATAGTGCAGAAAAGTAGTAGTTGAGTGTGAGAATCCGATGAAAGTGGTTAGCAGATTGTTAAAACAATTTACACCAAATATTACAAAACAGGTGTAAATTATTGTAAATGTATTTCCAGTGAAAACCAACCTCAAGTTCCGCAAAAGCAAGACAACATTTACAATAGGTTTGTGAATTTACTTGAACGTTTGTGTTATTGATTGGAAATAACATTTTCAATATAAATACTTTGTAATTTTTGGGGCGCAAGCAAGACTGAACATTTTCAATATAAATACTTAGCACCATTTCTAATTTTTGGGGCGCAAGCAAGACTGTGATTTGTAATCCATCACTGTGTAAAGACGGTTTATAAATATAAAGACGAGCAATTAACCGCGCTGTTAACACTATTGGAATTTTTGTTCGGTCTGTTGATTACTGATTCAGTGGTATATTAAATGTGGACTACTAAACATGTCTTATCTATTCGTCTGCCTGCCACACATATTAGAATCACAATAATTGTGCTTCGAATTAAGGTAAACTGTTCAGACTTAGTGTAGGTGTTCATTAGACGACTGTCTTGACTCTTGACTGACTGAGATCGACGATGAACGTGGTTAGCAGATTGTTAAAACAATTTACATCGAATATTACAAAACAGGTGTAAATTTTTGTAAATTTATTTTAAATGAAAACCAACTTCAAGTTCCGCATAAGCAAGACAACATTTACAATAGGTGGCTGTTTGGGAATTTACTTTCTCTGCCAACAAAGAGATTGAACCTAGGACCTCGGTATAACGAGCCAGCCACTTGCTCACCGAACCGCCATGACTCCCATAAATTGAGGAGTATAAAGTTTGCTGCGCGAAACAAAGTACTGTGTTAAAAGTACTTGCACCACCATGGAAAGCGTTCGAATGATTGTAATTTCTTTTTAAATAAAAGATAAAAGCGGGTGGATGGAGCATACGAACTAAGTCCCCGCCTTGTTCTCTATAGCAGTTGATGTACAATCTGAACCAGATGTAGTTTCCTACTAATTCCAGTATAGTAGAATATTCTGAAAATAGTAAAGTGTACTGTCTGACACGTCGTTAGTTGTTTTATTATTCTCATCAAATCAAATAGCTTATCTTTGCTTAGACCTAGCAAAAACGTGTATCATCGAGTCAAGGCAATTGTCTAATGAACATCTACACTAAGTCTGAACAGTATACCTTAATTTAGAAGCACAATATGTGACCCTAATGGGTGTGGCAGGCAGACGAATAGATAAGACAGGTTTATGTAGTCTACATTTAATATACCACTGAATATGGCACGAATCGAACACATTATTATCCTTCAATAAAATCCCCTAATTCTTATTTAATAGAAATAATTAATGCGAAACAACCAATGTGTAGCAGGCTGGATAATTGTTGTGAAATTTATTTCATTCAAAGCTAAGATATAATAACAACATGATCTGGGACTTTTTGCAATTAACAGTGAGACGAAGTCAGGGTTTTGTGGCCGGTGTATTTCAAGTGTCTGATATACAATCAATAATCAAAAGACCGAACAAAAATTCCAATAGTGTTAATAACACGGTTTTATCTTCATCAATTTTATCATTCAGTCTTACCTACCAGTTCCTCAAAATCTTGAGTATCAAGTTTGGATTGAAAGGAGTTTAACTGCTCGTCTTCACATTTATAAACAGTCTTCACACAGTGCTGGATTACAAATCGCAGTCTTGCTTGCCCCCAAATAATTAGAAATGGTGCTAAGTATTTATATTGAAAATGTTATTTTCATTCAATAACACAAACGTTCAAGTAAATGCACAAAGAGCCACGTATTGTAAATGTTGCCTTAATTATGCGGAACTTGAGGTTGGTTTTGACTGGAAATACATTTACAATAATTTACACCTGTTTTGTAATATTCGGTGTAAATTGTCGTAACAATCTGCTAACCACTTTCATCGGATTCTCACACTCATACCATCCTAATTTGTTAGTGAACAACTACTACTTTTCTGCACTATAGAATAAGGTTTGGCCCCCATCTGGACATCGGTGGTAAAGGAAAGTTCAAAGTCGCGCCAATATATAAGTTGAACCGGCGATTGAATTGAATATTATTTTGATTATAAAACTACCCCTTTAATGTAAATTATCTTTATATAGTACTAGAAGAATGCCCGGCTTCGCTCGGGGGTCATAACCCCGAAACCGGAAGTGGTGACTAACGCCACCTGGCCTATGTTACTCCCCGGTCCGAGCTACCCCTATACCCAAGATTTCAGACTCGGGGCAGACCTAGTGTAGCCGCCAACCCCGAACAGACAGACAGACAGACAGACAAACGACAGTCACAAATATTAGTATAGAAAATAATATTTTCTACAACAATAAAGCAACTGTGATCTGTTAATAAAGTAACAAGGCATTTAAACGTCAACCGTCTATCACACAGATCATTCAAATGTAAAATGGATTGTATAGACTACAACACTTCCGAGGCGAAACTCCAAAAGTCGACAGCACGACAAGCCAAAATGATAGGTCGCTAATATCGCGTTGTGTAAATTTCCTAATTCCTACTTATCAAGTTGCATTTTGGCTATTTATGCATGTTGGCTCCTTACTGACATGAATAAATACTAAAATCTGACAAAGTCGAAAGTCGACATCACGCTACACAAGTCAAAATGCAAGTCGAAAAGTATAAGTCACGACAAAACGAGGGGTGCTATTATCGCTGTGTCTATCTCTCGAGTTTGGATTGTGTAGCGTGCTGGCGCCTCACATTTCGTGGTAACTTCAATTTTTCGACTTTGGCGTTCTGAAGGGGAAAAAAGTAGAAATAACGAATGGTATTTATAAGCTTCCATACATATAGTATTACAACACGCTCCATTGAAATTTCAAGTCATAATTCTAAAATACCATTTCACTGATATGCGGTCAATATAAATACCCTGATATACGTTCTAACGCAATAAATAACACTCTTTCAGTGTTAATATAACTGTTTTCTAGAAGAAAAAAAAAAAAATTTCATGCCCGCTTTTAATTTGGCGACCAATTAACACTTCTTCAAATTTATAAATTTTGAAAATTAAGGAAATAAATTGTCTTGTAAACAACTTTGTCGGTACGAAAAAGGTCCCCGTCTTCATTAGCCCAGGTTAGGAGCAGAACAGTTGGACGTTAAACCCCATTTCATTTCACGAAAAAGGTCAAAGGCGAAATCAAAACATAAAAATTCGACCCTGATCCCCGCTATACAGAAATGGATTTATTTCGGAAATAAGAGAGGTATTCTTCAACTACGGTCTACTGTGTTCATTTTCACGTCCGTCAACGTGGATTTTTCACTTTTTTATATATTCAATTCAAAATTGTGACCATAAGTTGACAGAAATAAAAATACTGTTCCGATAGATTTTTAGGCATGCCTGTAAGTAAAATATCGCAAAAGCCTTGGGTATTTTTCACGTTTCAAGATGGTGGCACTTACGGCTCGATCAACAAACTCCATATTATTTGTACGCATCAGTAGTGTCTTATCTAGTACACAAAATTCAAAATGGTGACGGTCAGTTGACCGAAATCAAACTTCCGCTCTGAACATTTTTTAGGCATTCCGTCAAGGATTCAGAAAATGTAACTCCCATGTCTGTAAATAAATTATCGCAAAATCCTTTCGGTTTTTTTTTTACCGTTTCGAGATGGTGTCATTTCCGGTTCGATCGACAAACTCCATATTGTGTGTATGTATCAGTAATTTAATATCTAGTACGAAAATAAATTTTGAAGGCAATCTGACCTACATTTTTCGAATTTTTGAAAACATTGATCCTTAATTTATTCAAGGGGAGATACGTTAGAAAATGTCTAATGTTATCAATTTAAGTTTCATGAACAGTTTTGAAAACCTGATCCTAAATTTACTCAATGGGAGATAAGTTAGAAATTTCTAATGTTATCAATTTAAGTTGGATCAGTCAGGTCTACATACATGCCAAGTTTCGCGAAAATCGTACTAATATTAAAGAAGTTTTCATGTTGGATTTTACTTTCGGGATGTGATGTCAATGACGCATTTTTCGAAAATCGGAAATAGCAGATTGAAAGTAAATGTTTCATTTTGCTTGCTGGTTTGTTTCTCTATTCCTACGAAGCCGATTACATACAGGCACTCGTAAAATCAAATAAACGATTAGTCAGACATTTTAATTTCACTTATCGATATATCGATGATGTTCTATCACTGAATAATCCAAAATTTAGTGATTATGTGGAATTCATATATCCTGATGAGCTCGAAATTAAAAACACTACTGACAGTGACAATTACGCTTCCTACTTGGATCTGCGTCTCGATTTTGACAATTGCCATAAACTTAGTGTTAAATTGTACGATAAACGTGATGACTTTGACTTTCCGATTGTTAACTTTCCATTTATTAGTAGTAACATTCCAATATCACCAGCTTATGGAGTGTTTGTGTCTCAACTAATTCGTTACGCGAGAGCTTGTTCATTTTATTCTGATTTTTTAAGTAGATCGAGGCATTTGTCATCTAAGCTTCAACTACAGGGATACTTGCGAACTAAACTTAAGTTTTATGGGCGTCATATTGACTTGATTGGTAAATATAACATGTCTCTCTCGGCTATTATTCTAGATATATTTAATTGACGCGTATACAATCTCCCTGATTATGTCTGTCTACTACATCGTTAACACTGATCATCACGTGCATTTTGCATACCGATAGTCTATTGGCCAATCACGCTATTTTACCGAGATTTCGCCTAATAGTTTGGATGCAGCTATGGCGAGTGTGGCACCAGGCAGGGTAAGCTTACTCTTCCGGACACCTGTTACCACTGTTTGTTGTGTATTTTGTACACGGTGAACAGTCCATATGCTGATTACATTATTTTGCCTTATTACACTATTTTGCCTATACCGTTTTTTTAGGACTTCGAATTTTGTCTAATGGTTTGGATTGTTCGTACTTTGTTTTATTCTATTATCCCAATATCTCATTCCATTAATTACAAGATTCTTTCTTTAACCTATTCTTCTTCGCCTAATAGTTTGGATGCAGCTATGGCGGGTGTGGCGCCAGGCAGGGTAAGCTTACTCTTCCGGTCACCTGTTACCATTGTTTGTCGTGTATTTTGTACACGGTGAACAGTCCATATGCTGATTACACTATTTTGCCTATACCGTTTTTTTAGGACTTCGAATTTTGTCTAATGGTTTGGATTGTTCGTACTTGGTTTGATTTTATTTCAAGGTACTTATTGGAAAATAAAATAGTTCAAATAGTCACAAAGTTACAGCTATGTACATGTAGGTCAATTTTTTCTTCGGTAAATTTCGGTGATTTCGGAATCGTAAAACGTTTAAAAAATATATTGATTCCAAAGACATCACCCGTTTTTGAAAGGGCACTGTCTAGAAATGTATTAATTTCGGAAATAGGAAGCGAATTCACGAAACGGCGGTCTATGTAAACAACTTTGTCGGCACGAAAAACGTCAAAGGAGTTATCAATTTAAGTTGGATCAGTCGGGTCTACATACATGCCAAGTTTCATGAAAATCGTACTAATATTAAAGAAGTTTTCATGTTGGATTTTACTTTCGGGATGTGATGTCAATGACGTATTTTACGAAAATCGGAAATAGCAGATTGAAAGTACTTAAAGAATAAAAATAGGTCAAATAGTCACAAAGTTACAGCTATGTACATGTAGGTCAAATTTTTCATAAGTAGATTTCGGTGATTTCGGAATCGTAAAACGTTTTAAAAATATATTGATTCCAAAGTCACCACCCGTTTATGAAAGGGGGCTGTCTAGAAATGTATTAATTTCGGAAATAGGAAACGAATTCACGAAACGGCGGTCTATGTAAACAACTCTGTCGGCACGAAATACGTCAAAGGCGAAGTTCGAAATTTTAAAATATTCAAATACCAAAAATTCTACCATGAGCCGGGCTATCCTGAAATGTACTTACTTAGGTAATAGGAGACACATACTTCAAACCACAGTCTATTGTGCTTATGTTCAAGCGGTTAGCGTGAATTTGTCACTATTTTTCATATTCAAGTCTAAAAGGCGTCAAAATTCGGCAGTTCTGTAGTGATTCAGAAAATGTAATTCCCGTGTCCGTAAGTAAAATTCGATGTTGTTTTTCATATTTTAAGATGTCTGCACTTCCGGTTCCGTTCACAAACCTCATATTTTGTGTACGCATCAGTAGTTTCTTAGCTAGTACAGAAAAAATATTTCAAGGGGAGCTAAATTTAAAAATTTCTAATGACATCGTTGAAGTCACGTCAGTCAGATGTACTTACTTTCCAAATTTCAGAAGAATCGGGCTAATTTTTAAAATTGTAGTTGTTAATGATTTTTTTTTCAGTGCACTCAAAGAAAGAATTAGTAAAATAGGTCAAATAGTCACAAAGTTACAGATAGGTCAATATTTTTCGTCAGTAAAATTCGGGGATTTCGGATTCGAAAAACGTTTGGAAAATATATTCATTCCAAAGCCACCATCCATTCTTGGGGCGGGCGGGGGAGGAGGGTAGGTCAACTTTTCAGAAAGATCCTATGGTTAGATTCTGAGATATAAGCTTGGCAGGAAAAACACAAAATAAGAATAATCTTAAAAACAATAAGCTTAATAATCTTTATTTACGAAAACCATCAGGTTACAAGAATTCATTAAATTTCATTTTACATTTTCATTATATTCATACATTCATTTCACATCAAACTATAAACGAATAAGATTGATATTTCGTTTCAGTTTTTTTATACTTTCGATGGCCTACACTACATGAAGATCTAACAAGTTGTACTCGAAGATCATGGCAGGGGTGATGCGGGCGGCTTTTGACCCAATGACGCCAGACATTGACGTTTCTAGTGGTTTACCCACAGATCCGTGCATTGTACGCCAAGAAGTTGCAGTAACAAGACCGTTTCATTGGCTTATCCCTCACTTCAATCAAAACGCCGGTGATATAACACCTCTTTCAGATCCTAGTGTAGTAAAGACAAGTAAAACGAAATTTTGAACTATAAAAAACGATTGACTATTTGTTAAGAATATTTACATTTATGGGACCGAGAAAAATGACAATATATTTTCAATGAATTGACATAATTTTAATAGTTCGTTACCATTAACATGCAATAACTCGTTCATTTTACGTGTATATCCTTACATATTGAGATCTGTAGTTCGCAAAAAATGGACACTAACAAATAATGAAATTCGTCTCCTATATTTAGTCTACATATCGTGTATGATAAAGTTTCAATAGGCAAACTATGACTTCTACATCGCAATTTTGAAATTCTGGGGGCATATTTAACATGTAGTCTTCTAATTCAAATTGTTTCTTAAATATTCTATAATTGATACATTTACTACTTTCTGATATTTTTGTATTCCAGTTCTGCACAAACTCATCTTTTCTAATACCGTTTTCTTTAACCATTTGCGATTAACATTTTGACCCTGTTAGTGCCATACATCTAGGATCGATTTGACGTTATTAATCCAACCAAAATTATTATACACAGTACTAATAAACAACATAGTGCTATATGTAAACTCGTTAGGGTTTCCAGTGATAATTTTCCATATATATCGCCATATACCATTACATTTGGAGTAGAGTTGTTTTACGCCTATGAATATTTTACAAAATTTCAATTGTAATCTCTGTAATAAAGTTATATCTCCATTACCCTACACCTTCCTTCCATACAATTCTATTGGGGTTACTAATGAATCAAATAGTTGGAGTTGTGTATCAATATCTAAGTGTAATTTATTTGCTTTCTTCAACAGTGAAAACATGGCGCTACTAGCTGTTGTATGTAGTGACTTGATGGCTTTGCCGAACTTTCCGTTATAATTGAATTTACTTCCAAGGTAACCATAATCATCAACAACATGTAATATCGAATGAACATATTTAATGATGGACATTTTCCTTATTTTACATCTTGAAAACACATAACCTTTATCTTAAAGAGGGATTAACTTCAAGATTCCACTTGGAACAATAATCAAGTCAGTAGGACGTTGGAAACCATTACAATCTATTTCAGTGCGACTTCTCGACAAGGAAAACAATCAGATAATGTTGATTAATAGTAGATTAGTTTATAATAATGATAATTTTAGATCGGGTCAAACGCAGTTTAATATTACGACTTGATAATTGCTTTCTGGATATTGTATCTTAAACATTGATAACTAAGACAATCAAATAGTGTCACAATATAAAGATATATATTTTTGAAGAATCACGCATTACTAGACCTACTCATTTTGTAGACTATTCTAAGCATGGAGATAATATAGAAACAGCGGGTGTAATTCAAGAAGATCATATTGTACCTGGCCATTACTTGATTATTATAATCCGTGGACCTAAACTCAGACCAGGGAATATTTTACTTTTTTACATTTGATTAGCAGTTTCCAGAAAATTTGTGTAAAGAATGCTAATCAATTGTATAATTGAGTAGCAAAATTTACCAATTTACAGATAGGTCAATATTTTTCGTCAGTAAAATTCGGGGATTTCGGATTCGAAAAACGTTTGGAAAATATATTCATTCCAAAGCCACCATCCATTCTTGGGGCGGGCGGGGGAGGAGGGTAGGTCAACAGTGAAAACATGGCGCTACTAGCTGTTGTATGTAGTGACTTGATGGCTTTGCCGAACTTTCCGTTATAATTGAATTTACTTCCAAGGTAATCATAATCATCAACAACATGTAATATCGAATGAACATATTTAATGATGGACATTTTCCTTATTTTACATCTTGAAAACACATAACCTTTATCTTAAGAGGGATTAACTTCAAGATTCCACTTGGAACAATAATCAAGTCAGTAGGACGTTGGAAACCATTACAATCTATTTCAGTGCGACTTCTCGACAAGGAAAACAATCAGATAATGTTGATTAATAGTAGATTAGTTTATAATAATGATAATTTTAGATCGGGTCAAACGCAGTTTAATATTACGACTTGATAATTGCTTTCTGGATATTGTATCTTAAACATTGATAACTAAGACAATCAAATAGTGTCACAATATAAAGATATATATTTTTGAAGAATCGCGCATTACTAGACCTACTCATTTTGTAGACTATTCTAAGCATGGAGATAATATAGAAACAGCGGGTGTAATTCAAGAAGATCATATTGTACCTGGCCATTACTTGATTATTATAATCCGTGGACCTAAACTCAGACCAGGGAATATTTTACTTTTTTACATTTGATTAGCAGTTTCCAGAAAAATTGTGTAAGAATGCTAATCAATTGTATAATTGAGTAGCAAAATTTACCAATTGATTAGCAGTTTTTTAGTATGTAATAGAATTCTTATTTCACATAATTATGTGACAATAATAACAATACCATATTATTTGTATTACCAAACTGTTGTTTATATTTATATATAAAATAAAAATAAAAAGTATGTGAATGTTTTAAGAGTTTTTATTTTCAGAACAAAACCGTCAAAAATAAGAACAAACTGTTCTTTTGGCACATAAACATTGCAAAAACTGTTCTTTTGGCACATACACATTGCAAACACTGTTCGTAAAGTTCGTTTGGCACATAAACATTGCAAATATACACATATACAAAATAAAATTAGTTGCAGCTACTTGCTACGATGTAAAAGGATTAACTTGTTCACATTTGTCTAAACATATAAATTATATGTTAACAGGTAAGTTTGTATGTGGCTGTCATTCTTAAAAAATCTTATCACTTATTTTGTCAGTTAAATATCAATAGATGTTGACTTTGAACCATAAGGTTTAACATTTGGGCGTCTATTTGATGAAAAAAACACATCAACACAGTTTGAGCTATTAAATAAATCAGGGGTTGGCCCTTCTAGTTGTATTCTCAGTAAAGATTCAAGGATATTTTCCCCAAGTCTATTTCTCCAGTCACATTTTATTCTGGCCATTGCTGAAAATGCTCTTTCCAGTTTTGCATTAGACACTGGATACGCTTTTAAAATTAATATGATGTGTTTGATATTGTTAAATTTGTCATTATATGTAGTTAAAACTGCCTGAAAAAATTCTTTGGAGCTAAGTGAAGAATGGCAGCTTAACCAGAATTTTTTTAATACTAACCATTCAAAATGAATGCTTTCAATCTCTACATTGTTTTTTTCAAGAATTGTTCTGAAATGAGATATGAATGTTTGAATTTCGATATTACCAAATTTGTCTAATTCACTCTTTATAGTGGGCCACATGGAAGTGTTTATTAGAGACAATACTTTAAAAACTTCGTTAGACTCCAAATCAGCAAATCTATTCTTAGGGGTGTCACAATAAGACATTTTTTTTACAAATCATTTCAGGCCAGCAATTTCCAGAGGCGAAATTGCTAGCTGAACACGATTTTTAAATTTTTTTTTATCTATGACGTCATTTTCGGTTGGGGTTTGTCTGATTTCCAAAATGGCCTCCAAAAGTTGACGTAAAATGAATTTCCAGATAGGATGGGTGATTTTCATGCAAAATATGGCTTGTAATATATCATATATAAGGTTTTTGTTGTAATTGAACTGAAAAATAATCTCTAAAACTAGTTTCCCCAAATCCAAGATGGCGGAAATTCAAAATGGCGGCTAAAATTTACCTAAAATGGCCGATTTGTCAGATTAAAGTCATTTCACAGTTTGATTTGGTTTGTAATATGTAATCTAAAGGGGTTTCACTGTCACTGAACTTAAAATCAATCTAAAATAGAGTTTCCAAAATCCAAGATGGCGGAAATTAAAAAATGGCGGCCAGATTTTCTCTAAATTGATCAATTTTTAAGATAATCGTCAATTTTCAAAATCCAAGATGGCGGAAATTCAAAATGTCGACCAAAATTTATCTAAAATGGACGATTTGTCAGATAAAGGTCATTTCACTCTTTGATATGGTTTGTAATACGTAATTTAAAGGGTTTTCAATGTCATTGAACTTAAAATCAATCTAAAATAGAGTTTCCAAAATCCAAGATGGCGGAAATTAAAAAATGGCGGCCAGATTTTCTCTAAATTGATCAATTTTTAAGATAATCGTCAATTTTCTGTTTGATATGGCTTGCAATATGTCCTCTATTAAGTTTTCAGAGTCACTGAATTTGATAATTGTAGATGATTGTTTCAGAAAAAAAAGGGACAATCATCAATCTTTCTATTGGATTGGTTTATAATAGCAAATTGTAATAATTTTTTTAAGGCAACTAAATTTGACTTGACCCAGGAATCTACCTGTCAATAAATTAACCATGTGCAAAACTTACCTTAATCTAAAGAAAAAAAGAGTTTTCAAAATCCAAGATGGCGGAAATTCAAAATGTCGACCAAAATTTATCTAAAATGGCCGATTTGTCAGATAAAAGTCATTTCACTCTTTGATATGGTTTGTAATACGTAATTTAAAGGGTTTTCAATGTCATTGAACTTAAAATCAATCTAAAATAGAGTTTCCAAAATCCAAGATGGCGGAAATTAAAAAATGGCGGCCAGATTTTCTCTAAATTGATCAATTTTTAAGATAATCGTCAATTTTCTGTTTGATATGGCTTGTAATATGTCCTCTATTAAGTTTTCAGAGTCACTGAATTTGATAGGGGGGGTGGATGGCTGAATGGTTAGCGTGCGCGCTGTATCATAAAGTCTGTCATTGAGTCGACTGACGTGATTTTGAATCCTCGGTTGTATGTGGCAAGGAGTAGGGTCGCCTGTCCAACCTCGTGGGTTTTCTCCGGGTCCTCCGGTTTCCTCCCACTGGTAAAGACCCCTACGCACAAGCGAATTATGTAAATAAAATTAAACCATATGTTAGTCCCGAAATGACCTAGTTTGTGTCGAGTGGACGTTAAACCCCATTTCTCTCTCTTTCTCTCTGAATTTGATAATTGAAGATGATTGTTTCAGAAAAAAAGGGACAATCATCAATCTTTCTCTTGGATTGGTTTATAATAGCAAATTGTAATAGTTTTTTAAGGGCAACTTAATTTGACCTGACCCAGGAATCTACCTGTCAATAAATAAACCATGTGCAGAACTTACCAGTCAGCTAATTAGAATTTCAAAGAATTTAACCTTAAGACACACTAAATGTAGCTTAATTGTTTTTATGCATAAAAACATATGATGCTAATGATAATGTTAAGAATTGAAACATTCTTTGGAGAAAATATCTGGTTAATCCGACTCTCCACCCCCACCCCCACCCCATAACAATACAACGGGGCCAACTGACGCATTTTTAATTTCATCTCCTTTGTCTTTGC